TATTCAGTTTCTCTTGATGTTAATATAAGAGTGATTCACGTCTGTAACACTTTTTTGTTTTTATTATTGTTTACTTTTTTTGTTTTATTTTTATTGTTATTTGTTATTGTTACCTTGGGTCTCGACCTTGTCAATAAATTTATTTCTGTGCGGCCGTGGCGCAGTGGTTAAAGCGCTGGATCTCCTGCTTTATAAGCAGGAGATCCAGGTTCAAAACGAGCTCTGGACATATTTTTGCGTCACGGTAAGGAAGGAGGCGTGAACTTCCTGGTTAAATGCACTTCTGCGGTGCTCTGTGACAAGACCTTTAGGTCTTCTCGGGGCACCTAAAAATAATAACAAAAAAAAAAAAAATTATTTGATTAATTAATTTGTGATGTGATGCAATTGCGTTAATTTCTTTATGATTCATTGAAACAATATTATTTTTGCATAGTTGTCATAGTCACGTTTGCTAAACACTTAAGTGCCTCGTTTATTCTTAGCATTTCCTGAAGCATAAAGTATAACGCAGCGTGAGCGGCAGATTTTATTTGGTCTCAGTTGTACTCTAAGAAAAACTCCTTATTTTATTGGTTTCATTGCTTTCTGGATGATACAATTAAAATGATTTTTTAAATTTTATATAAAACCCACACACCTACATATTGGTTTCAGTAATTATTTCATTGCTTCACGGATAATGCAATAAAAATCATACAATTTAATAATATAGACGCACTAAATAATTTTTTTTACTAACTACTTCCTTTTACATAATTTGTAAAACAAATTAATTTTTTAAAAAATATTTAAAAAACTGAAAATTTACAGATTTTAGAATATTATTTAAAAAGCTTAAACTTTTAACCAATAAAAAGGTAAACAATTGAATTTTGCAAAAACAAAGACCAAAAAAGAGACCGCCGCCAGCGGCATCCACCTACCAAAAGGTCAACAGAAAGTTGACCTTTTGGTAGAAAGTTACTTTGACATCGGGCGGCATTATCAACTCTGCGTTTGTGTATGCACGTAATGGAAACACGTTTTTGACGCGTGTTATGTGCCCAATTGTATACGCATCTGAAACGCATTTCTGGTACATATTCTACTTGATATAATGGCTAACATACATTTGTAAATAACATTTTTTTTTGAAAGTTTTAGATTTACTTTAAATACCAAGAAAACATTGTATAGGATAATATCAAATTACCGTGTTTTAAGCTTATTTACAAGAGTTTTAAAGGTCGGTTTCATACTCAGTAGGTATCGTATAGCATACTTGTTTTTAAACGCATCTAAAGCGTTTAAAAACAATAAAAAAGCTAATATAATAAAAAATAAAATGCGCATTTTCAACGTGCGTTTAAAATGTGCATTTTATTATTTTATTATGGGTTGCGTTTTAACTAGTTACAAACGTTCTAGAGGAAAAATGGCATAGACAATTCAGAAAGGCAAGTTTCCAGGCCTACTAAAACAACTAATGGACACTAAAACAACTAATGGATAAGTTTCTATGTTTCTGACAATATTAGGTCTAGTTCAGTAAATCTGTAATTTACCCTGCAGACCCTGAACGAGTCCTGAATCATATTTTACACAGTGTTGGAAATGAGGAACCACACAGTAGTCAGAAAGGCTTGAAAATGCAAAATAATTCAAAAATACTAATTTTTAAAAACGAACTAAATTTTATGCCAAACAATTCTTCAAACCTTCAAGAAAGTACACTTGAAATATTTTTTCTCTAGTGCACTGAATTTTTGTATTTCGTCCCATTCAAAGAGCAAGGGTTAAAAATCAAATTATTGAAACTGAAAAATGTCTTAATATTTTTACTGTTTAAGGCTAAATTTTTTTATATATCATATCCAGTTTACAAATTTGAAAAATTTTGCAGTAAGATTAATCTAAAATTCTATTCAAACTTTAAAGTATTGATTAAGAATCACTTAACCATTTCTGCTTAAAATCATACCCCCCCCCCCTACGTCCCCCTTTCAAAGTTAAATCAATTCATTCAGCTGGCATGCCATTGCCATGGCAATCCTACGTACGTTCCCGTAAACTTTGGCAGCAAAATTACACGAAAAATTTAAAATTTAATTAAAAAATTACAAAGATAACTTTTGATTAGAAGTTTGTACAAAAGTTGGGTATTTTCTACAACGTCAACAACAATGTTTTAATTTGAGACATCATCTATGGTTTAAAGGTAAGAATTTTTATCTTATTCAACTTTTCCTATATTTCTATTAGCATTAAAAGAAAGATTAGGCATTATTGTTGATAAAAGACGGGATGGCGGTGCCGGAACAACCACTACTGGCAATGTTGCCCGTATTGCCTTTGACAACCCTGCAATTACAGCAAAGATTTGTAAAATTCTAGTTAAACTTGTTGAGAACATTGCCACAATCTGGGGAGCACTCTCAAGTGGATTTGCCATCACTTTAACAAAGTTTGCTGAACTTTGCAAGGAAACTGAAGAAATTTATTTTGATGAAGAGAATGGCTGTGATTGGTATTTTCTACCTCCACTTCACAAAATTTTCAAACATGGCAAGGATCTTATTGTCAATTTCCCTCTTCGAATTGGACTCACAAGTGAAGAAGGATCTGAAGCCAACAATAAGTTTTTGAGAAACTTCAGAATGCATCATACAAGAAAGTCTTCATGGGCACATGGCATGGCTGATATGTTCCACAGGCTCACAGATTTAAGTGATCCAAAGGTTCAAGGATCATGTGTTGGAAAACGCCAAAGATTCAAAAAGAAGAGAAAACTGCCAGCAAGGATTGTTTCTTTACTTGAGTGTTGTGAACCAACCACGCCAGGCTTTTGTGATGGTAGTTATTCAGATTAAGTTTTTGGACATTTGAAATTATTTTTAATTTAAAAATAGTATAAAATTCTTGTGAAAATGAAAACAAATTAATAAAATTCATTACTTTTCTAAATTTTTCGTGTGATAAATATGTTTTCATTGTTATTCCAAGTCAAAAAAAACTTTTCAAGTTATCTAAAGTGTAAAAAATGAAATGAATTAAACTTGAACTTCATAATATTCTTGTGGAAATGGTTACAACTTCATGTAATTAATTATTTTTTCACTATATTGTGATAATGATGTTTTCAATGTTATTTTGATTCAGATGAAGAATTTTTTTTTTTTTTTTTTATTATTAAGGTGCCTCAAGAAGACCAAACGGTCTTGTCATAGTACACCGCGGAAGTGCATTTATCTAGGAAGTTCACGCCTTCTTCCTTACCGTGACGCAAAATATGTCCAGAGTTTGTTTCGAATTTGGATCACCTGCTAATAAAGCAAGCGCTCTAACGATTGCACCACGACCGCTTTACCGCTTTAAAGAATGGGTGCCAAAAGGCACATTTTCTAACATTTTTGAGATGTTTACTAAATACACATTATTATTAAATAATACTTTTTAAATTTTAGTTGAGGCCAAAGTAACCTTAGTATTGCCTTGGGTTTGTATGATTTTTGTATAAAATGGGTAAAGTAACCATATGCTGGTGTAACAATGACCACTCACTCACAAAAGAAAAAAAATTTTTAAAGCTTTTTGTACTTCATGGTAATGCTATAGCCCCTAAACTAAACCATTGCATTCATAAATATTTATAATGATACTTTATTGTTTATTTATTTGTAAATATACTCGCCTATTCAGAACATGTAATGATTAAAAAAAATTGGACTAAAGTTACCTCATTTTACATTTTATTATAACCTCAACTGAGAGTCAACTAGTCGACAAAAAATGACTTCACTTCATGATGTAGTTTAACAAAAATATGAACGGAAAAAAAAATTGAATAGCTAAATTAAATAGTTTAAAAATATATAAGATAAATATTCATAAAAACAGTTTAAAGCAATAAAAACAAAAACAAAAACATTATAGTCAATTAAGTTTGGTGGTTTTTTTAAAACAGTTAAATTTAATTTGTTTCCTTTAATTATTTTAATAAAGTATTCTTACAGACGTTTTACTTAAGTATTCTACAGACGTTTTTTCCAGAAAGCTTAGAAATACGTCAAAGTTTTAATTAATTTAACGACAAAGCTGCGTAAATCGATGTTTTTTAAATTTCTAATGGACATTTTCCAATTAAATTTTGAGGCTATTAAACTATTTCGGTTTTTGAAACAGATTAATTGGAGGGTATAAAAACAAAGAAATTTTTACCAACTTGCATTTCACAAAAAAGATGGATAGTCGAAGTATGCTCGTCGTTTTTCTAATTTGTATTCAAGTTTTTGTAAGTATCAAATTTTAAGTTAATAACATAAAACATTAAAAGTACTAAGTAATTATTATTATTGCTATTGTTATTACTATTTTAATTGATTATTTTTAACCCAAACTAAAATGTTAAAAATATCGCGAGGTTAGAATTATTTTGTTATATCTCCTTTTTTTTTGTTTTGAGATAAAACGATTTAAAAAACAAAAACTTTAGGAGATGGCGTGTAAAAACATTTTTATTACTTATGCTTTCTCCAAAACTCTTTTAACTATAACTTAGGTTTTAATATAGTAGAAAAACATTATTTTGAGGTGCATGACACAATCAATAATTCGATTTTTTCAAAAAGTGAAGATATAACAAAGTTATTCTAATCTAGTGAAATGCAAACGGTAATATAACAGGTTGTTTTTTCAGCTTGATGAAGCAGCCCCAAACCATCGTGAAAAAGATGTAGTTCCTGATATTAGGTTAGTATAACCATGTTGCAGTTTTTTTTGTATAATTGAACAAAACAATGTTGTTTTGTTTTGTGATTTTTCTGAAAACAAAGAATGCTTTTGTTTTGAAATTTCAAATCAAGGCATTCTTTGTTTTCAGAAACGAGGATGAGATTAATGGCGGAGGTGGATATGGGTATGGTTACGGAAAGAAAGAAGCGTTTGACAATTGCAAATATTTTAAAACTATTCCTAACTTTAATGAACTACTAACTAGTAAAAGTTGTTTTTATTTAGAAATAAAGACGAACTTAATGACGGCGGATATGGTGGAGGATACGGTTACGGAAAAAGAGAAACGTGAGCTTTTGCAAAAAATTTTCAATCAAATCTTTATTTTAACAAATAAATAAAAAAAAATATATATTCTTTTAGAGAAAAAGACCAAATTGACGGAGGATATGGATATGGAGGATATGGTGGAGGATACGGTTACGGAAAAAGAGAAACGTAAGTTTTTTGCAAAAAATCTTTCAAATGTTTATTTTAACGATATAAAAAAAAAAATTTTTTTCAGAGAGAAAGACCAAGCTGACGGTGGATATGGTGGAGGGTACGGGTACGGAAAAAGAGAAACGTAAGTTTTTGCAAAATTTATTTCAAACGAATCTTTATTTTAACGAATAATTAAAAAATATATATACTTTTAGAGAGAAAGATCAAGCTGACGGCGGTTATGGTGGAGGATACGGTTACGGAAAAAGAGAAACGTAAGTCTTTTGAAAAAATTTTTCCAAACTTTTTTTTTTTTTTTTTAAACAAATAAATAAAAAAGTTTCTTTTTAGAGAGAAAGACCAAGTTGACGGAGGATATGGATATGGTGGAGGATACGGTTACGGAAAAAGAGAAATGTATTTTTTTTGCAAATATATTTTTCAAATAAATCTTTAAGTTATTAAGATATTAAATAAAAAAATTATTTTTTTAGAGAGAAAGACCAAGTTGACGGAGGATATGGATATGGAGGATATGGTGGAGGATACGGTTACGGAAAAAGAGAAATGTATTTTTTTTGCAAATATATTTTTCAAATAAATCTTTAAGTTATTAAGATATTAAATAAAAAAATTATTTTTTTAGAGAGAAAGACCAAGTTGACGGAGGATATGGATATGGAGGATATGGTGGAGGATACGGTTACGGAAAAAGAGAAACGTAAGTTTTTTTAAAATACATTTTTCAAATCTTTAAGTTATTGAAATATAAAATATAAAATGATTCTTTCAGAGAGAAAGACCAAATTGATGGAGGATATGGAGGCGGATACGGTTACGGAAAATGAGAAACGTAAGTTTTACAATTGTTCCAAAAAAAATACAAATACTATTTATCAATACTTATGGTTAGGAAGATTATAGGGAGATTTTTTAATTATAAAAATTTTTACGACTTTTTTGGGTATGCTTGATAACATAACAAAAAATTTGTTTCATTTTAGTACAAAATGAAGATCGAATGCATTTTTAAAAATTCTTGTAATTATATATCTTATAATATATTTTAAAGTTTGTTAAAGGTTTTTTTATTTCGAAAAAATTATCGGAGGCGGATTCACAAAACTTCACGCAATTTGCGTAATATTTTGCGCATATTTGGGTATAATAATAATTTGCGCTTACATTAGCGCAAATTATTAAAACTCACTCAAATAATTATTTGAGTGGAGTTTCCCAATTAGCTGATTCACAAAACTTACAAAACATATTTTGTAAGCTCGACATGCCATTTTATAAAAATGTTCAGATCGATTTAAGCAAGGACGAATGAATTGTGCGCAGAACCAAAAGATTCGAAATCCTATACAGTTAAATTGTCTGAGAAATATAGGTAAAATAAGCAAATTCTGGAAGTGATGTCTTCAGATTGTCTTCATTTTCAGATATTTTGTAAAAAAAAATGAAAACAGACCATTGGTAAATTTTTTTTCAAAAATTGCTATTCGTTTCGGAGATATTGGGTCCCAAAATTTGGCCCATTTTGTGAAAATATTTGCGCAAGGAGTGCAATTGCTACTTTGTGGGGCAGTTTTGGCAACATGAATATGACAGACATTTATTTTTAATTTTTCTGCTAAACTGGGTAGATTTCTACAGCTAAAGTTAAAATTCAACATGGTTACATTTTTAGTTATCTAGAAATCATGGTCCGAAACCACTAAATTTGAAATTTTACCCTAACTTTGAGCACTAATATCTCTTAAGGCCATTACTTGCATGTAGTTTTCTTAAGTTTTTTTGAAAGGCACAAAGACATGCATTGATTATATGGAACAAAATTTATGTGCATGCAAAGACCTGGGGAGGAGTAACCTGCCAAAAATCACTTTTTGCGTTCAACGCGTCTTGGTAAATTACCCATAACAACTGTGGCCTTAGGTCTGCCATAAACAGTATAAGTTATTTAATTTCCTTAAACATGCTTCTTCCAATATCTGAAAAAAAATCCATGTGCTTGGATGTTTAAAAGCTTACAGAAGTCCTAGAAGTAGCCTTATTTTGCCAAATTTTTATCAAAAAAATACCCTAGCAACGGTATAGATATGCTTAGCAACAGCTACTTTACAGCTTTAATAATTAGTATTGTAATTAAAAATTTTGATATAATACATTTTTATAACGGAACTGTACAAGAACACTTGATAAAAATTACATTGTAAGCATTTTTAATGTAACAAAGTACTTAACAAAAGGTTGAAGTGATGCAATGACAAAAGACTTGTTAAATGTTAATTTGCACTCCTTAATGTTCCTTCTTATGTAACGCAGTAAAAACTTCTAAATCTCATGATTGATATCTTATTATGTCAAATTTTAATTCGATTTTTACTTTTAAAATACTCATTTTTTAAATATTTTTTTGTATGATGTATTGTATTCGTTTCGAAATAGCGTTCGACAGCTAAATTTTACATTGAAATTTTATAATAAGTACTCATTGAGAAATAATGGTTTGCTAAATAAACCATTTTGTAGAACAAAGTTTAACAAATTTTTTAAAAATCTGTTTTTAAAAATAATTTTAAAGATTTTATTCTTGCTTTGGATAATATTTTAAGTTACTATCATTTTAAATAAACCTTGATTTATGAGATTAATATTTATAGATTTGTTTTCTTTGATGCTTAGTAGAACGTTAAAAAGAAATTTGAAAAGTTCAAAATGCAGTTTGAGAAGATATTTGCTGAAGCAATTGCACCTGGTCAATCAGAGGCACTGATTTTTCAAGTGTTCTACAATGAGGATGAAGATACTTCACCTCAATACTGGTTCCAGAAGACGTTGTTGTACCAGTTAAGATGTTTTAAGAAATTGATTCTTTAGGACAAATTCTTTTGCTTTCAGTTATTAATCAGAACAAGTACACTAATGAAACATTAATGAAAACCTTTGACTTTATAAAAGTTCAAAAAGAAAAAGCACCCAAATTGCAAATAGAAAGCAGAAAATTTTCCATACCAAAAAAGGAAAAGGACAACATATCCCGAATGCCACAGGAAAATAGAACCTTTTTTGGAGCTTAGCTCATATTCAATGAAATGAGAGTGTTAAATGTTTTAAATGTGAGTTATTGTTTAATATGAATAGTACTTTGCAAATTAATTTTTTGTATTATTCTAATTTATTTTGAATTTTATAACTGTTATTTTATCTTTACCTAATATGGTTATATCTTCAGTTTCTAAAAATTGGTGTTTTTTGTGGAAGAATTCTTTAGCTGTTAACTTCACTTTGCATAGCAAAATAAATACACTCTGTTAAATTGGACATATAATCTTCTTATTCCTTACTAATGGTGAGTCAATTGTTAAAACTCTTAAACAAGTCATTGAGATATTTAGGTTAAACACTAGTAAATATCAACTCGATATTGTTCCTAATGTTTCAATAATATGGGCTTGTAACTATGTACGGTATTATTCAAAGTTTACTGAATTTTGTAATAAGCCCTTTGCAAACCATTCGCAAAACTACAAATTTTAATTTTTCAGAAAATGAAATGACTTACCCTTTACAAATGAGGATGATAATTTATACCATGTTATTGGTTAATGTTCCTACAAGTAACATTAGACTCCTAATTCAAAAAATTGGCCAATATTTATGTGTTAACTTTACTGATATTCCTCATTGTTGTACTGTTGAACAAATGACTCGTGAACTTGGAACTATATGTGGTGTCATATATGTGGTGCAGTTTATCTCAAACTTATTCGCATTTTTTATCTAACTTATTCGTACTTTTTAATCATTTTTTCTCTAACTTATTCGTATTTTTTAATCATTTTATTTCTAACTTATTCGCATTTTTACTTGCTTCAATGAATGTTGTAGTTCAATAATCTCAAATATATCCAACACAGAGTCAAATATATCCAACACATTGTCTGACAGAGTGTCAGTAAACCATCTAACCATTAGCAAAATATGTGATACTTGAGGCAAGAACTTGAAAAAGCTAAACTGATATTTCCACTCTCTAGGCACAATTGCTATTTTATGTCTTGAAGCCCTAAAGTCTTTAAAATTGGAACAGTGATTATTATGTGATAAGTGATTATTCTTCAGATTATTAGTAAATGATTGTATAGCAGCTAAAATTGTTTTAAGGAAGATGAGGTTTAAAGATATAAGAATTCAGAAAGATTCGTAAATTTTTTAAATAATAAAAAACAGGAGACAACAAGTGTAAGGCTACAAAATATTTATATATTAGGCAAATTAAGATCCCAAAATATTAGAACTATTGATTATCTAGAAAATCTTAAAAAAGTAGTTTAGAGTTAAACCTCTTTTTACATGCGCGAATAAAAAAAGAATAAGAACTAGACTAGAACATTAACACCTCGAGCAGAGATATCTAATAGACAGACATTTAAACGTCAAAAACTGGATAAAAAACAAAAAAGGAGGTTAGAACGCGAGTTGTATTAACTAATAGTGAAGTAAAGAATTTTTACAAACACTTTCTGGCAACAAAACAATTAATAGCAGAAAACTCACGGTATGACACTGACTATTCTAAGTCTGTTATTTTAAGTAAACAAGAAACAACAGAATTTACGTTATTTCTTACTGGAAACAAGATGAAACTAGATGACTTGCAAAATAAGTACCACAAGTTTTGTGGCTTACAAATTTGAAACAGCAAGTTTTGTGGTTTCCAAATTTATTTGATAGACGACTCTGGCTTCACTTCTTGTCTATTGTTAAAAATGATTTTTTTTCATTAATGAAATTGAAAAATTAAATTATTCACTAAAAGACAAAATTTAATTAAATTTGTTATTTCAAAAGTTTGTTGTTTTTATGTGGGTTTTTTTTTAGGTCTTTTTCAAGAGGTATTTTAACATTTTTTGTCGAAATCTCATTTTTAATTTTTTTTTAAACCACTAATTACAATTTGTAAAGTATTGAAATATATATTTTATTTTTTATACTAGGTTTGATCATTTTTGTAAAGATTAAAATATTTAAAATGAGATTTTGACAGGGTGCGTTAAACCTTGATGCCAGGTAATAGATATTTAAACAAAAAGTGACAAAATTATAACAATTTATGTAAAAAATAATTTTTTGACCACAGTTTTATCAAGAAATCCATATATTGAAAGTTTGGTACTAAAAAAGTTATAACTTTTTATAGAAGTCTTCCACTTAACGTTCTAAAGATTTTTGTATTAACGAAAAAAATTAATGGCTCGTTCAGACGATTTGCAACAATCACCAAGAAGTATATTTGAATTATGAGAAGTTAATGGCAAACAAAAAGCACGAGGGTTTTCTTTCCTAATTAACGCCCCGATTTTTCCTTTCATGTCGTGCTACCGTTATCATAAGATTGAACTTAGTAATTTGATAACAATAAATCATGTTGACAATTTCAAAATTTTTATAGTGTCTATCAATGGTACAAATTATAACAGACATTTGTTCCTCGTGATAATATTAAGGAGAGCAGTCTAGAATGACGGAATAATACTTGGCTCGTTTAATTTTGTCTA